CTGCTGCTCATCATTGCGCAGTCGAAGTTCATGAAATAGATCGACAGCACATCTGCGCAATCCGTGCCGAAAATAAATAACAAATTAATGAAGATCAAAGATAATTTTTTCATCCAGACCAGCAAACGTAGGAATAGGGACAGTTGCATGAACCTGAATATTATCTGGGCGTCAGTTGCGTTAATAAAGCGCTGCCAACATTAATCCATTTACTGCCCATCAAAGACCGAAATTTGGAGTAAACAATTTGACATTGAATCTTTTTGCACTGCTGTACTTCGAGAACGTTGGAATCACTGTCTGACGCGTCTGCCTCCGCGACCCGAAAGGAGAAGCGGCAATGGAAGTTGAATGAAAAAATGAATGAATGAATTGCTGTACTTTGAACAAGAGCCCCAGGATAGCTCCAAAGGTCGATGATTTGTCTAATAAAGTATATATGCTGACCAATCGGATATGAAACATGAAGACCATGGAATTAATCTCCAGTATAAAAGGGGACTGCTTAATTTTTAGACTAAAGCGAATGTTTGATTAGCAATATTGCCTATAGTAAACGAAAAGTCTTAGACACAGAGCAATACGCGTACCTGATTTAGGCTATTATCGAAATGCGTAACAGGTTTAAAACTTACCAGTTTTCATCTTGTTGTAATTTCTTTGCCATAGAAACAAATCAATATTTAAGAGCAATTCATCTAGCCTGAGCAGTTAGGTAACAGGTATTTTTGCACTTGAAACAGCCAAAAAATTGGCATGTACATTTCATCTTAAAAACTACCTTAGAAAAACTAGTTGTCATGAATTTAAATAGCAGGAGCGATTACAATGTCAGATTCCACTGAAATTTATCAGTTTCATGCAGGTATAGAGCAACGATTATTTTGCTGTTCAGAACTTTTAACTGATTTTTACATTTACGCTATTATCCCATTATGCCATTTGAACAGAGGATGACATATATAATCATGTTGCAAAATTTGTCAACAAATATAGAGTATGTCATCACATTTGAAATAAAAATTGAAAAAACGGATTCCCTATCCATTTCATTGTCAGTTCAGCAGCTGCAGTGAAAAAAAAATGTCCACGGGAAAAGTCACTTTGTTGCCGCAAACACTTGTCACTCAATTGCGAAGTTCATTGTGTCATTTTCGAAATAACTGCTACTTCAGACCAAAATATTAAAGGCATATCATTTCCAACAGCTCATCATCCATATTGGAAACCTTAAAATAAAAGCAGACCAAGAACACTGATAACTCGGGCGAAGTTTGAATCGGCATAACGTTCGCCAGCATCAGTTCGATGAGGAGCCCTTGGCTAAGTTTTGCAGAAGATTTTGTCATGTTTCCCGAACCCTCTATGTTCTCACCTGGACTCAGGCCTGACAACATCGGAATTAACGCTGATGATATGTATTAAATTAGCACAAGGTATAAATCCTCAATCACGGAATAAAGTGCAGATCTTCAAAAAACACTGTGTCATTATCCAGAGTGTTGGCTTTTAAAAATCATGGGAATGGAGTAATAAGCAAGTACTCATGCTGAATTGACTCATGCTGCATGGCGAAGGGTCTTGACTGTCCAAGAGTAACACGGAACATCCGTGC